TCCTCCACCTCCTCCTCTGCCTCCTCCTCCTTCTTTTCTCCTTCTCCTTCTTTTTCCTCCTCCTCCTCTTTTTTTCCAGACTTTATTTATCTTCTTAAAGCTACATTCTTTTCTTTTTTCTATTTGTGTTCTCTGAGGCCCTACAGAATAATTCTCATTAATTTGTCTTTCAATAGTCTTCCAGATATTTATAGAGAACTTCTATAAAGAAGTGTATTTACAGAGAGGCTTCTTCCATGGATTTTCTTTTCCTCTAAGCTAGTCATTTTTTGTATCACCAATAGTCTCTCATAATTCATGATATTTAATCCATTCACAATCCTGGACACCACTCATTTACTCATATAAATCATACTGAATGCTGGCTATTTCATTTTATCAACCTCCATCTGTAAAGTGTGTTGCCAAGGGCAGTACACAGTATTCCAAGTTATTATGACCAGAAATGAGCATAGCAGATCTTCCATCCTCTCATTCAGGTCATCAATTTTCCTAAATGGGACTTAAGATCGCAACAATTATTTTGGCAGCTATTTTATGCTGTTGATATGTGCTCAACTGTGTCCTTCTGTCTCCACTGAAATGTTTTTATATGTGCGGTTAACTTAAATGGACCCTAACCTACACATGAACTTTTAAATCTAAATACATAGTATTTCCTTTCTTCCAAGCAGATTAATTGGACCTTACTGCATTCTCTCAAGAACTTTTATTCTTTTATCCAATTATGCCTCACAGATATCCACCCTCTATGCACTTGGTTAGCATGTTACTGAAACTCCTTATCAAAGACACTGATTAAAATGTAGAAATGGACAAAGCTAAGGAGAAACCACTAGCAACCCTCTGAGAAGTCATTTAACTAGTTATACACACATGTAACTACATCAGTATTATGAAATAGAGTACCTGTTTCACAAAACCCTCAAGTATAGTTTTGGTTAAATCTCTGGCTCTGTGCTCACTGCCATGATAGCTGAAGCTATGGCCCTGCCCTCAGAGCCCCATGGTTTGGTGGCACCTTGTTCAACATGACCCTCACGCCTCCTCCACCAGCAGAGTATATGCCTGCTGCCTTTCTGCTGCCAGACCTCCATATGCTGGGGTTCAAAAAATAAGTATTCAGCCCTGATTGTGTGTCAGATATTGTATGTTGCATGAAGTAATTTCTTATAGACACCAAGCTGGAAGAAATGTTTTATGAAAAAAATGCTTATCTTTTTAAGTGGAAGCATTTTATTATCTTGTTTGTGTGTGAAAGCAGTGTATCATGTTTCTTACATGGAAATAGTGCCAAAGTGCTGTGTGAATCCCATGCACAGGACTCAGTTTTTGGCCTCAGGGATACAGACGAATATTTTAAATGTGAGATGTACTTTTAATAAGTTAATCTATTCAGTGTCTAAATTCTTGCTAAACAGCATATCAAACTGTGAGGTTAAGCAAATCAACCACAAGTGTGCAGGCATTCTCCTGATACATATGCAGAAATAACTATTAATTTGCCCGTGATAACTTTGACATTTGAAAGTTTCAACTGTGAATCACCTGTATAGATGTTACCTTTTCCAAAGGACTTTCTACTCGAGGAATGCTGATCATTGGCATCTGGGCCAGATTATCCATGTGTATGTGTTCGTTTTCTGGTTGTCTTCCTTTGAAATTATTTACCACACACACCACCTAAAATTTAAAAATCAATTACAGGTAAGTGAAACCATAAATCTGTGACTATCACACTTTGCATTAGTTTAATATGTTTAGATATGGTAACAAAGCATTAAAATTACTTGATAAAAAACCTTGCATTCAGATTTATTTCCTATAAATATTAATTGATACTCCAATACAAGAAGGCTCAAAAATTCATCAATTAGTATGGAGCTCAACTAATAATGACAAATTCATTATTGTAAAATTTTCATTAATGTATAGTCAATTCTCAAGTCAACCCCAAAATAACATCATAACCTTATAAAAATTCATAGCAAGCTAACCTTTCCTAATGTGGTTAACCTGCAACTTAATTTAAATGCTAATTATTTTACATTGATTCAAGATTAGTACATTCATGATGAACCTTTTACAATTGGCACTCTAATTCAATAACATCACTTTAATTAATCTAGTTTATTGTCTATTCTTGTGCCACACATAGGCTTGGCATTTCAACAATACTTTACTGAGGCTACTACTTAAATAGATGGCCCTTGTTTACAAAGGAAATTCACCCTTGTTTCAATTGATTATATTTCAGAGGTGAAAGAATTTGAAGTATTCCAGACTTTCTCATGCTTTGTCCATAAAAATAATTTTAGCCCTGTAAAAAATGCTAATTCCTAGTCCCTCCTCTAGAGTTTTTCATGCAAAAGGCTAAGGATGGGCCTAGGAGCTGGTACTATTAAGTACATTCTAGAATTTTCTGATCCAAATGAATCGTGTTTAAGAAATGATAAACAACACAAGAAAATTATTTGCTATCGTTCATTTACATTAAATAGTGAAGAAGATAGTATGCTTTCTTTTTATAAATTTCATATATTATGAACCAGAATACAGAATTTACTTGCAGTTACAACCTAATGCTCATTAAAAATTAGCCATAATACTGCATTTACATAAAACATTAATTCTTAGTTAGAAAGTCTTTCTTTAGGAGGACTTATTACTAATTATTTTTAAACAATCTTGGTTATTTTCCAATTTTTTAAATAAAATTTATAAGTTTCCAGAATACTAACATTTACTCTGAGAAATAACAGAAAAATATTTCCTCACAATTTTTTTCCTCTTATCTTTCTGCTCCATAAGGGAATTACAAGTTAGAAACACAAATCCTAATAATTTGATAACTTGGCTTTACTGATGCCAAGATGTTGAAAGAGAAGAATGAAAAGGGTGTGAAGATGCATAGTTGGTAAATCTATCACATGACATTGCTAGCTTCATGGCTCCACAAAATACTGAAACTGACTTCTGAGGAGATAGTCAAAAATTTTTCCTGGAAACAGAAGATAGTGCTTTTGGCCTTGCAAGTCAACAGTCTCCATGGTATCTACTCAGATTTTCCTTTCTGATACTGAAGAGTCACTGACAGTTGGTAAATGAACAGGCATGTTAATGTTCTGAGACACATTCTTTACAAAAACACACAGCAGGTCAACTTCGGTCTGCAGGCTGTAGCTTACTGATTAACCACTGTCTACAACCCAAGGGGTATAACCCAGACATTTTAGCTGTTAGTTGCAACAAAGCAACCTAGTCATCTCAAATCCATCCCACAAGCATATACATTTTTTTTTCTTTTTTAAAAATTGATTTTAATGAGAAAAAAGATAAATAGCAATGAAACAGTTTCAAAACAAGTTAGTAGGGCAATTACAAAAATTCATACATTGCATATTGCTGTCTTCATAGTAGTTACTCAGAGGACAAGATGCAGACATGGTATCTTGTCTAAACAATATTAGTACAAACCTTTCTTCTCAATGAACTAAGAGAAAGTAGTTGTATAGTTATCCTAACTTTTTTTTTCCTTTTTATACTTTAGTACAGGGTCTACAGGGTCTCACTATGTAGATCAGACTCACAATGATCCGCCTGTGTTCAGCCTCCCAAGTATGGGATTATAGACATGTGCTACCACCCCCAGTCTCAATCGCTGTCTCAACACACCCTGGGGTGGGGCCAGCGTGGCACACTGGGGATCAAACCCTGGCTGCTGCATCTGCCTAAGCAGGCACTTTAATTCACTAAGCTATTTGGCAGGCCCCATCCTAACTATTATATTTCTTTTTCACAACAAAATGGTCCTTTATTTATATACCCCTTTTTTGTTTTGCATATACATTTTCTATTTAATTTTAAAATAAATTATTGCAATGTTGGGTAGATGAAATATTGCTAATAATTATTCTGAAGTAAAATTTATTGAAATGCAGCAACTATGTCAACTTTTGGAACTCATGAAATGAAGTTCATTTAGCCTATATAGGTTTCTGAAACTAGCATAATTGTTTCCAACATTGCATAAGTTTGGAAAACTCTTTGAAGGAATCTATAGGTTATCTCTCTGCCTTTATGAAAAGTTAGAGGCAGCTGCATGTGGTACTATATGCCTGTAATTCAAGCACGCTGGGAGCCTGAGACAGGAGTTCAAATCCAGCCTGGAAAATTTATTGACATAGGAGATTCTGTCTCACAATTTCAAAATTAAGAAAAGGAGTGGTGCTTGGAGATAGTTCAGTGCAAAGGCTGGATTTAATTCACACTATAGGGAGTGGGTGTGTGTGTGCAAAAGAGAGAATAAAAGCCATAACAGTGACTTATTGAATGGCAGAATGGACATAATAATTACTCTTCTCTCCTCTTGGTATTTGAATTATAGGGAAGGAAACTGCAAGATCCTCTTTAGAGTCTTCTTTAGAGACAAATGTGAACATGTGATAACATCTGCTAACATCCACAATTTAGTTAATAAAAACAGTAAGAAAAAACAAGAGACCTGGTTTTTTGATCCTGAACCTGCACTTTCTTCTGCAGGTCTCTGGATCTGTTTTTTTCAGTTAGAGGAGACTGCAGCCTATCACCAAGTTAGGAATTTCCTTGTTTGGCAAAGAAAGGCTACATCCATCCCACCCAACCTCCACCACCACGCAGTTGTGTAAGGCTGAACACTTTGGTTTACCCTTTACATCTCCTCTACTCAGCCACTGATTGAATCTGCTCTAGATTACTTCCTAAAAGCCTTGATGAATAGAAATGCCAGTCGATCCAGCTACTGTCTTTGAGCTAAGGATGTCACATTACAATGATGACGTACATACCAATGTTTATGCTTGCATAATGCATTATGGTCAAATCCTAGAAGCAGCCTGTATATCCATCTAGGGACAAATGGATAAAGAAAATGTGACTTTGACACACAGTGGATGACTACTCAGCTACAAAGGACAAATTTCCAGATGCAGGAAAATGGATACACTTGGGAAACAATGTAAATGGAGTAAATCAGCTACAGGAGCTTACACACCATGTGGCATCTCTTATTTGAGTAAGGCAAAGTGTAGACATAGAGCAAAATACAGGGTTGATAACAGGAAACAGGGAGTTCGATATTACTCTCAATGAAAGTTAACATTAGAAGTTTAAATATGAATAAAAATTAATAACATTAATGAGGAAAAGCTCAGGAAGAGACAGAGGAAGGTGGATGAGGATGGGAAAGGGACAAAAGGCGAATCAAGATACATTATGAACATGCACCTAGTCTTTAAATACATGTAAACTTTATGTATTACAAACATATACTAATAAAATAAAATTTTGAACACTTGTTTGTGTCTATTTGCTTCATTTGCTCTCCACCACCAACTAAGGAATCGCATCTTGCCTACATTGCTGCATAGATTCCAAGACTGCCCCCCCATGCCGTCTTGCCAGTCTATGATCTATTTTCTGCAATGATGTGAGAGTGATATTTCTAAATGCAAACTGGATTCTGTCCTCTCCTCATAGCCATGTTGTGCCTGAGCCAAATTAGCTATTTCATGAACAGAAGCAAGCTATAATTGTAGTCTTGGTTTTTATTATATGCAAAATGAGGACAATAAACTACATTTCTATGAGGTATCATAACCTTGAACAATTCTATGATGCTATAATGTATATTAGTTTTGGAAGTATTTGGAGTCATACATTTTGATAAAATAATTCAATCAACAACTATCATTCCATTTTTTTTTTTTGTACAAGGATTCTGTTCCTTACCTTGAGCAAAATGCACATACAAAGAATGATGAATTTATACAATATAAATCCTGGTAAGACAGTAAGAGAATGGGACACACTTTCAAGTGCAGTAGAAATGAAGGAAAAATAGAAGGGTCAGGTAATCGGGAACACTGCCCAGGGAAACTGAAACTGGCTTGAACCTAAGAATTTAAATGTCTTGTAGATGTCAAAGGTGACAGTGTTGACACATAGCACTGCCTTAGTATCAGGAATTAGTCTACACTTACCACATTTAGCATTTCATTTAACATCTAAAAGAGTCCAGGAAGCAAATAAAATGATCACTTTTACATGCACCCATTCTTTGAATATTTACTAAGCATTCCTGATGTGCCAGATCTTCTCAGTTACTGGGGATATGAAATAAAACAAATAGATGACTTCTCTGTAAGGTGCTTATGTTGCAGTGAAATTGGTAATATGATAAAAAACAAAAGTGTTAGGTATAGTAAAGGGTTAGGTAAATAAGAGTTGAAATGTGTTATGAGGGGCTGGAGAGATGGCTCAGTGGTCTGAAGCACCTACTTAGAACAAGCTTAGCAAAGCATCGGGGACCGCGGTTCAATCCCCCAGCACCACATGCCAGCCAGCCTCGCCCCCTGGTGGGCTGAGCTGGCCACACACACACACCCCTCTCTCTCTCTCTCTCTCTCTCTCTCTCTCTCTCTCTCTCTCTCTCTCAAATAAATAAAAATTAAAAAAAAATTAAAAAAAAAAGAAATGTGTTATGAAAAAAAGAAAAACAGGGACTTAGCTGAAGAATCCTCTTAGAAGAGGAGCAGCTGTTTTATACACAGGTGAGGAAAGGGCTCACCATCTAGGAATAATAAGGAGCTAAATGACAGGTACAAGGTCATCCATACAGCAAATGGCAAAAGCAGAATTTAGAG